TTCTCCCACCCCCACCCACACAGATTTTAGAGTACAGCCAAAGCTTTCAATTTGGAAGTCGGAAAGTAACTTACTGGTTCGGAATCTGTAAGTTACATTTCAGCCGCTTGATGCAAATAGTTTATAGAAAAAAAAATGTTTTCCCAACTTATTATGCAAACAAACATGGAAAATGAGGAAAATATGTTTCACAAAAATATTTTACGGCAAAACAAATGGAGCCTAAGAGTCTTGTGATATTTTGCAAACTATTACATTGATGGGTGAATGTGTCACCCGCATTGGGTAATTCTATTTACATACCATAGAAAATCTCAGTACACACCATTTCAGTGGTTCAAATATCAACTTTCGAACAAAAGTCAAATGTTTGGGCATAAACTTTTAAACAAAAACTAGTTGTTTGGACATAAATTGTTGAATGAAATGTATATTTGAACAATTTATTTTTGTTCATAAGTTTATATTTGAACATTTTTCTTTTGTTTGGAAGTTTGTATCTGAACGACACAAATGATGTGTATCAAGATTTTCTATGGTGTGCGAATAAAATTTTCCATAATTTTTGCTTCCTGCTATTACCTTTGGTTCTCTGTGCCCAAAAAGACTTTTTTTACATATTATATTGATTTACATGCTTAATGTACTGCAGCCGGACATGCAACAGAATCGTTTACAGATTTTGTTGTAGGACATGGAGAGTTATGGTCTGCTCAGATGTTGGCATCTCTTGTCAGAAAAGTGGTGCTGTGCTTATTTGCACTTTATTTTGAAAGAATATCTAGAAGTTGTGATTTTGAAATTTTCTGAATTAGTTTTTTCTTTTTATTTGATTTTTCTCTGCTGCAGAGTGGGATGGATTGTAATTGGATGGACACGAGGGAGGTCCTTATTGTAAATCCTAGTGGTTCTAATCAAGTTGATCCAGATTACTTGGAATCTGAAAAAAGACTTGAGAAATGGTTTTTGCAAAATCCATCTAAGACTGTTATTGCAACTGGTTTCATAGCTAGTACACCTCAAAATATTCCTACAACTTTGAAAAGCGATGGAAGTGACTTCTCTGCAGCTATAATGGGGGCTTTGTTCAGGGCACGCCAAGTCACAATCTGGACAGATGTTGATGGTGTTTGCAGTGCTGATCCCGGAAAAGGTTTGTGCAGTTTGTGCATTTGAATCACCACTTTTGAAAAATCTCTGGAAGATTGTTGCTTGTAAAATTAATCATTTATTCTGATGATGGAAGTAAATTTCTGGACTGGTACTTCTACTAACAATGTTAATTTTGTGTTTGATTATGGACTTGGGTACGAGTATTAGGTGCGGGTTTGTATCCAAGTGTCAGACCTTCATAAACTTAGATATTAGGATCTTGCGATTCATATTCAAAGATATGGGTATGGGGACGCGTCATATATACATATATATTAAAAAATATATAATATTCTTGGATGAGATGTTGTAAATTATGTAGAAGTATACCAGAAATTAAATAGGATTCAAGAAAAATATGAAATTTCTATCTATAATTAGTGTGAGAGGCTAAAAATATTGCTTTACTAACAAATGTGAGTTTCTTCTTCTTTATATATTGTAACAAATTAAAGGATCCGAGTGACTAAATTGGGTACGGGTGTCGGACACATATTCCACGCCCTTACCCTTGTCATATCTGATAGACACAGGTATTTTGGGCGAAATAGAAGAGTCCATGTAACACACTGATTGGAATGACTAATGAACATTTCTTTTTGCAGTTAGTGAGGCTGTGGTATTGAAGACGTTGTCTTATCAAGAGGCCTGGGAAATGGTGAACCTTAATCTCATTTTATACCTGTTAAAGTTGCTGACACTTGCTATTTAGCGTTCTTAACAAGAAAAATTTACATGCTTGTGCAGTCATATTTTGGGGCAAATGTTTTACATCCCCGAACCATCATTCCAGTGATGCAATATGACATTCCAATCGTTATTAGAAATATCTTCAATCTTTCAGCACCTGGAACGATGATCTGCCAGCCTTCCGTTAATGAGTTCGAAGATGGGCAGAGGCTGGAATCTTATGTCAAAGGGTTTGCAACTATAGACAATTTGGCCCTTGTAAATGTTGAGGGGTGAGCTTGTATTGCAATGATATTTCTGTTCATCCTATTTGTAGTTGTATGCATTCTCTTTAATTTCCTTTTCCCATTTAAGCTGCGCCTTGCACATTCTTTTTGCAGAACTGGAATGGTTGGTGTTCCTGGTACAGCTAGTGCCATTTTTGGTGCAGTCAAAGATGTAGGAGCCAACGTTATCATGATATCCCAGGTATCTTCATCTTCTTATATCTGTTAAATATTTTTCCATATTGTAAAATTCATGTAGTTAGTGATTGGGTCTAATGCAGGCTAGCAGTGAGCATTCTATCTGCTTTGCTGTTCCTGAGAAAGAAGTAAAAGCTGTTGCTGAGGTTTTACAGTCTAGATTTCGTCAAGCTCTGGATGCTGAGCGTCTTTCTCAGGTGGTTTGATAGAATTCTAGAAGCTGATGTTATTTATCAATACTTTGTGAACGGTTTTTGGTTCCCTGGCTTTTCTATAGAGTTGTTTTCCAAACTAGTAATATGTAGTATAAGGGTTATCCTTTCTCTATATTGCACAAGATTTTAAAGGATTGTGATTGACAGCATAGTCGTCAAGGTGGACAATATTAGACAGACACACCGTTGTAGCTTTTGTGTTAGTTCGCTTCTTCGGTGACTGAAGAAGTGATTGCCTAGGATAGTCCTTCCTCCCGTCCCTCGAAGGCAAAAAAGAAGGAAAAAAGGAGGGTTTTGGTGATGGCTGCAGACATGAAGATTCCGGATTTTAGTAGAGCATTTGATTCAGTGTATAAATCATTCATACGCCTACCCCAAGTAATTGGGTCTAATGCTTAGTTGTGACAGTTAACAAAGGAATCTTTTCAGTAATCATTTCAATGCAGCAGAAATGATGTGATTGAGGACACTGTCACCTATATATGTTAGCGTGATTAAGGTGGACACTGGAATTATGAGTGAAGTATTAGGGGTTCAGAATGAAGAAAGCATTATGAATTGGTAAAACTAATTAAAGAAAAGGAGGAAGAAGAGAATGAGACATATCTTCTTACTAGAAGAAGAGAACTGTCACAATTCTTGATCTAGTTTGTTGAATCTCAAAATATGGGATGTATGGTGGTTTCCCACCATGATCTAATACTGAGGGTGGTTATGAAAACCACCTTCTATTCATTTCTTCTTCTAAATTAGAAGTTACGGTGGTAGCTAATAATCACGAGTAGCTACCTGAGAAGAACATGCATCCTAATATGAATATGCGAATGAAGGCTAGGGCGTTCCCCGTAAGCAACGACTTGTGCCTGCCTTTGGGTGTTCCAAAAAATGGCTAAGGGGCGCTACATCATCTCTCGAGTGCAGTGAAAAATAGGCAAGGTTCCATGCTCTTTCCTGGACAAGTGTGGGTAAAGAAGTTAACTCAGGATTGTAGGTTTAGATTAGCAGCTTGGAATATTGAAATATTAATTTGTAAATTTTTGGAATTAGTAAATACTCTGATTAGAAGGAAAGTTACTGTAACATGTTTACAAGAAACTAAGTAGGTAGGTGAAAAAGCAAAGGAAATAGAAAAAACTGTGCATAAAATTTACTATGCTAGAAAAGATGAGACATATAAATGGTTTAAGAATAATTGTGGCTAACATCTTGATGGTAATGTGTTAGAATAGCATATTATTAGTTGGGTTATTTATCCATTGTAATTATTCTATGCCTTGGGGCTTCCTTGTAATTATTATTAATTTTCATTAATATAAAAGGGGGATGATATCACAATCATTCCCTAATCTTGGTATTCTCTAAAATTATCATGGTATCAGAGTCACAACCCTAAATCCATACACCACACAGCCACCACAAAGCCTCCACAGATATGCCACCGTCCTAGGTCAGTCGGCTACTGTCGAAGGGGTTTTTGGCCTAGCTGCTAACTGCTGGCAGCCCTAGTCCCTTCTATCACCATCGTAGACAGGCCATTTGGCCTAGGTCGAACCCTTCGTCACTGCTGACAGGCCTTCTAGCCTAGGTCGAACCCTTCGTCATTGCCAACAGGCCTTTTGGCCTAAGTTGAACCCTTAGGCAGTCGGCGAGGCAAGACGACAGTGATTGAGGTCATCTCTGGATTCCTTTGACATTCCTCTGTTGTGCGTCTCTATGTTTGGTTGAACTGCTGTTGTCGTTGATTTTGTAATGAGGTAGTGACCTAAAAGTATTTGTTCCTGTTCTGTTTCTTTTCTTCTTAAATTTTTTTTTTTTGATGTGTTTAATTCGTTAATATTTTTAGTGGTCATTGTGCTTACTATTCTTCCACCATCTTCCGAGTTTGTGATTGACACTGGTTTTGTTGAGGGTTTGGTAATACAGTATCCATGGTAGATTCTACTAGTGTGTCCACTACTTCGCAGACATTTAGGAGAGAGTTCCATTCTACCTATTATTATGACTGATAACCCCAACCCTACTCTTAAAATCACCACCTCTCCATTTAATGGTCAGAATTATCTAGCGTGGTCGTAGAGTTTGACTATTTTTTTGAAGAGTAGAGGGAAGATGGGATATGTTGATGGCAAAATACAGGCACCCAACACCACTAACCCTGGTTATGATCAATGAGAGATTACCAAAACTTTGATTATGGGTTGACTTATTCATTTGATGGTACCAGACATTGGTGAGGGCTACTTGTCTATGGAGATTGCCCAGGATATTTGGGATGTTGTGACTTCCACCTATTCCCGCAAAGGGAATTTCTCACAGGCATTTGAGATGCGCCGCTCTATTGAGAGCTTTGTTCAAGGGGAGCATACTGTTCTGCAGTATTTCACCTTCCTTATCAATGGCTGGAAATGCTTTGATCACCTATAGGACTATAAGCTTGTTTGCACTGCTGATTCAGTTGGGTACATGAAGTTCATTGTACAGGAAAGGGTTTTCAAGTTTCTGGCAAGTCTTAATGTGGAGTATAATCCTGTTTGGAGTCGGGTTCTGGGTATGGACACTCTTCCTTTACTTTCGGAGGCATTCGGCTATGTACAAAATAGGTAGTCAACTATAAACGACTAAATGAAAATTTAGAATTTGATGGATATTTTATTCCAAGAAAAGATGTTTTGATTAACTTAATCAAAGGATCAACAATCTTTAGCAAATTCGATTGTAAGAGTGGATTTTGGCAAATTCAATTGACTGAAGAGTCAAAAAAATTGACAATTTTCAGTATACCTAGAGGACATTACCACTGGAATGTTATGCCTTTTAGTTTAAATATAGCACCACAGGTATTTCAACGGTGGATAGATACAATGTTTAAAGATCTTAAGAATTGTTGTGTAGTATATATTGATGATATACTTATCTTCTCTAAAACTTGAGAGGAGCATAAGAAACATTTAAAATTACTCTGTGAAAAATTTCAAAAACATGGAATTGGTGTCACCCAAAAAGATTGAACTAGAAAAAGAATCAATTGAATTTTTGAGAATAATTATAGACCAGAAAGGCTTAAAATTACAAAAACATATTTTGTTTAAAGTATGAGATTTTTCTGATACTCTTGAAAATATAACACAATTACAGAATTTATTAGGTATTTTAAATGATGGACGAAATTTCATCAAAAATCTTTCAAAAATAGAAATTCCTTGGTCAACCAAATTAAGAAAAAATGTTATGTTTGAATGGACATCAGATGATGTTGCTTTAATAAAACAAATTAAAGAAAATGTCAAAACTTTACCAAACGTTTATCTTCCTAAAACAGGTGATAAATTAATTTTAGAAACAAATGCCTCAAAGTTATGTTTGGGATGTATGCTTAAAGCAAGGAGGCACTGAGGAGGCACTGTGTATCTGCGAGAGTGAGAGAGAGTAGAGAGAAGCCAAGGAGAGGCACTGTGTATGAGAGAGAGAGAGAGGAGACTTGAACACTGAATACTGATCACCGTTTGTGTGAATGAGTGTGCCAAACATATATTATATATATAAACGGGGGTATATTAGTAATTTCATGTCGGAGAACCGGGGCGGGGATCGGGGCCGGGGCGGGGCTTGAACACTAATCACCGTCCCCGGCCCCGAACAGATCGGGGATTGATTTTCAAATACCGTCCCCTCCCCGTCGGGGGTATTTTTCGGGGAAAAACCGCTAAAATCGGAGTCGGGATCGGGGATCTCCGTCGGGCCGGTTTCAAATTGCCATCCCTAGTATGGACACTCTTCCTTTACTTTCGGAGGCATTCGGCTATGTACAAAATAGGTAGTCAACTATAAACGACTAAATGAAAATTTAGAATTTGATGGATATTTTATTCCAAGAAAAGATGTTTTGATTAACTTAATCAAAGGATCAACAATCTTTAGCAAATTCGATTGTAAGAGTGGATTTTGGCAAATTCAATTGACTGAAGAGTCAAAAAAATTGACAATTTTCAGTATACCTAGAGGACATTACCACTGGAATGTTATGCCTTTTAGTTTAAATATAGCACCACAGGTATTTCAACGGTGGATAGATACAATGTTTAAAGATCTTAAGAATTGTTGTGTAGTATATATTGATGATATACTTATCTTCTCTAAAACTTGAGAGGAGCATAAGAAACATTTAAAATTACTCTGTGAAAAATTTCAAAAACATGGAATTGGTGTCACCCAAAAAGATTGAACTAGAAAAAGAATCAATTGAATTTTTGAGAATAATTATAGACTAGAAAGGCTTAAAATTACAAAAACATATTTTGTTTAAAGTATGAGATTTTCCTGATACTCTTGAAAATATGACACAATTACAGAATTTATTAGGTATTTTAAATGATGGACGAAATTTCATCAAAAATCTTTCAAAAATAGAAATTCCTTGGTCAACCAAATTAAGAAAAAATGTTATGTTTGAATGGACATCAGATGATGTTGCTTTAATAAAACAAATTAAAGAAAATGTGAAAACTTTACCAAACGTTTATCTTCCTAAAACAGGTGATAAATTAATTTTAGAAACAAATGCCTCAAAGTTATGTTTGGGATGTATGCTTAAAGCAATACCAAGTAAATTATGGCATGATAAAGAGATACCTTTATTAGAAAATGGGATTAGACCAAGAAAAATTCTAGTACCCATAAAATTACAAAAAGAACAACTAATTTGTGGATATAATTCTGGAACATTTAAACCCAATGAATAGAAATATGTTATTTTTGAAAAAGAATTACTTGCAATAATATTGGCAATAAAAAGTTTTCATATTTATTTAGCCCCAGAAAATTTTATTGTACGTACTGATAATAAGGCAGTAAGAGATTTCTTGATCAATAAAAAACCTATTGAGCAAGGAAGAAGATTAGCCTGGTATAATAAAATTTATGAATATACTTTTGAAGTAGAACATCTTACAGGTACTAACAATTTTCTTGCAGATTTTCTTAGTAGGAATTGTTTTAGAAAATTAAATTACTAAATAAGTAATTTTAATT